AAATTTCAACATGTAACCAACAAGAATTCATAATAATCAGTTTTCTTCTCCTTCTATCAATAACAACAAACACTAAGTAACAAGGTCCTTCATCTCTCAATTCAACAATACGACCAAGTATAGATAAATTCAAACAACAGTTAGTACATATAACACAACAATAATTGATCTACAAGTTTTCCTTACCTTAAATCACCAAGGAAAGAGGAAGAAGAAGGAAGAATGATGAAGAACATAATCTTTCGAACTTTCTTTGCATGACAACCCTGACTCTTGATGCTCCACTTTAAAGCTTTGAATCACTGCTCAACAACACAATCTAAGCTTTAGTGGAAAGGTTTGAGCAATCTACATATGAAGTCAAAAGAAAGAACGGTTTCCTTTGGAAACCTATACCTTCGCCTAAACTCGTCTTAAGAAAATTTATACATTTTCCTAAACTCATCAAATAATGACCTCAACTTACAACAACTCATAATCAACTAAATTCATAAGAATTCTTTAATTCTTAAAGTTTTAAAATATTAAAACAATAAATCATATAAATCATTTATTTAATAAGATTAAATAAACAATCATACAATTTACATAATTACATTTTAAATATGCATGTATTATTTTAAAGAATAAAATTTAATTTTCAATAATTATAAATTAATAATATATATGTTTTTATTTCATAGATGTTTTACTTATAATGGTGTTATTTATTTTAAAATATATCTCAATTTAAATTTTATATTTTGTATTATACAATATCTATCTATTTATTTATATCTTTTTATATAAATAATATAATCATATATTAAGATTGAAATATTATATCGGAGAACAGTTAATAACACATTTTAAAATATTTTATTATTATTAATTAATATTATTAAATTATGAGTTGAGTTCATTAAATAAAAAGTAGAATCCATTAAAATTTACGTTTTTTTATATAAATTACAATAAAATTGCAAATATATTAAAAATGTGTCAAAAAAATATTATCAATATAATTCATTATGTTGGACTGGTTGGTTTTGTCTCATTATTTAGTCTCAATCAAGAGTTTACTTAATAAAGCTATCAAAATTTTAAGTTGACTAAAAATGAAGATAATTTTTTTCTAACATGTTGTGCTCACCTGTTGCCATAACACATTCCCAAGCATTTCTAAATTTGAACACCACATATATATTATTTTTTACACATTCCTTAGTTAAGAAAATAAGTTGAAAAATAACCTAATATGTCAAAAAGTGATATGACAAAAGCTTTTGGGAGAGTATTCAGAACTTTTTCGCGTGAAAAGAAGAGAGAACAAAGTTACAATATTTAAATTTGAATGATATCACTAACTAAATTTATTAAAAGGTTGTTTTAGATTAATAAATATTTTCTACATTTTTCAAATAATATGTTTAATATAAATTTAAAATTTTTATTTTCTTATTTTTTATAATGTAATTTTTCAAATATTAATTAATCATAAATCATAATATTACCTGAACGAAGTTATTATAAAAGTGAATAATTTTTTTACATGTTATTCGTGATTGAATAAATTTTTTTTTTGCCAACTTTGTTATACTGTTAATTGTATATATTATTTGTTTACCAAAAAAAATGTATATATTATTTACTATTTTTCTTAGTTTTCAAATAAAAGTTATCTTTCTTTTTCTTTTGAAATCTAAATTTCAAAAGAAAAGAATAATCGGTTATGTGAAACAAACGCACGAACGACCGAGGATAACGATGGTAGTTGGACCCTGTCCTGTTGTTCGAAATCGGTCTGGAACGGCGCATGTTAGTGAAAAGGTTCGATAATTTTTTATTTTTTATTTTTTAACATTGTTAAGGAATTATAAATTGTATAAAAATAATTGTTATATAAACCTAATAAATTTACTGTAACTTCATTAATAATATTTAAATGACTTGAATTTGATTTTAGTTTGGAATTTCAATAAAAAAAATATTTTTATTTTTCAAAAGTTTAGATTTTTTTATTATTATATAATCATTTTTAATTACTTATTTGTTTAAGTGATTACCTAAAATATTATTTACTTCTGTTTATAATATTATGTTAGTGTGTAATCCATCTATTTATTTTTATAACTCTTTAAAATAAATATTATTTATTTATCTTAAAATCATCAATAGGATTCACTAGTAGAAAAATAGTCTTTTACGTCACTATTTTTACGTCGGTCAAAACAGAAAACGACGTAGAAAAGACGCGGTGGCATTTTTGTAAATTTTGTGAACTTTTTTACGTCGGACTTAATAGGGTCCGACGTAAAATATAAAATCTACGTCGCACGTATTTAATGACCGACGTAAATTTTAAATTTTACGTCGGAGTTTACTGTACCCGACGTAAAAAATCTCTCCAAATTTTCCCGCCTCAAGAACCATTTCGGTAAGTTTTAAATTGAGCCATTTCGGTATAACTGGGTAGGGGAACGTAGCTCTCTCACAGAAACTTCCTTTGGGATTAACTGGGTAGAGGTGCCAGATGCTAAGCTGTGGAAGAGAGGTGCCCGATGCTCTCCGCTGAAACAGGACTTCAAGCCTTCGAAAGCTGTGGAAGAGAGGTGTTTTTTTCTTCATCCACACCAACATTGTAGATGCATGGCAACAAGAGAAAGGTCACGTTTCCTTTTCCCATGTACAAGTTCCCTTTTGTATGTATTTTTCTTCACTGCTGCACCCTCTCGTTTCTTCACAGGTAGAAAATTATTTGCGCGTGGGTGGATCTGCAGCAGAACGGGCCGTTCTCCTTGCACTCAAATTTTTTTTTTATAAATTTTTTATAACTTTTTACGTCGGACCTTGGCACGTCCGACGTAAATTTACGTCGGTTTTCGCACCTCGACGTAAATTTACGTTTACCGCTCTAACGTCAGAAATTTTTCTGACGTAAAAACCCCTAAAATGACCGACGTAAAAGGTATATTATGTACTAGTGGTGATTGCACATAAATTGTCTTTTTAATAAAAAAAAAAACGATCCACTCTTTTCCTTTTTTGTGACATTGAATATATTTAAAATTTTAAATTTTAATAAAGTAAATTATATTTTATCATGTAACTTAAAAAATAACTCATAGTGACATATTTAAAAATAATTATGTTAATTTTTTTAAAATTAAATTTATTGACTCAATTAACATTATTAATATAATTTTTTTTAAATAAATTAATAAATCATGTTTAATTTTAAAAAGTTCAAGTCAAATTTATAAAAAAAAATTATAATATATAATAAGTCAAATTTAAATTTAAATTTTATAAAATAAATCTCGCGTATATATTTAAAACATGATGTGATGAACCATTAAGGTTAGTCTAGTAGTTAGATAGAAAGGAGTTGGATAATTAAAAATATGAAGACATGTTCAATTCTCATTTCAATCATCATTGTAATTTTTTTTATTTGGTAAAAATACTATTTTGATCCCTTATAATATTTTAAATTTTAAATTTAGTCCCACCTTAATTTTTTGTTTCAATTTGGTCCCCAATAAGTTAAATCACTGCAATGCCGGACCTTCCATCCAAATTTTTTAAACGAAGTTAACTGTTGGTCACGTGGATGCCACGTAAATGCATATATAGGTGGCAAGGTGCCACATCTTCCTCCTCTTCCTTCTTTAATGCATCTGGAACGACCCGTTCTGAAACCAGAATGACCCGTTCTGCGTGCACTACTTGTGTGTTAATTTTTCATTTGGAACGAGCTATTCCTGATACAACATTTAACACACAATAAGTGCAAGCAGAACGGCCCGTTCTGAAACTAGAACGACCCGTTCTGGTTCCAAAATGGGCCGTTCTGGTTCTAGAACGGGTCGTTCTGTATTCAGAACGAGTCGTTCTAGAAAGCTAACATATGTTCAAAAGAATGCAGCAATGTGGTTCAGAGATTGAAAACAAAAATTTATAATATAACATAAATTCAAAGACTGAAATATGGTTCAGAGACTACAAATAAATTCATAACAAAACATATGCTAAGAAAGTTCAAATAAATTACTGAGGAGGGAAATAAAACCATGTCGTTTCATCCTTAAGTGTATAGTGCCAATTTGATAGTAAGTGATTCACAACTAACAATGAAATAAAACCTGTCACCATTGTTCTTAGTGTCCTTAATGATACATTGCATTGCATAACAAGTATTATAATTAATACTTATAAGAGTTTCTATATCCTGCAATTGGTTTAGAAATGGTGTATAGCCCAAATATTTAGTAATTGAAGTTATCAATCCCCCATTGATAATATTACCTAATTCAGTGTTTGAAATGTTTTGTATCTTGGTTTTTTTTCTTGAACAATTCACAATCGTGATTTTGAATCACGGGCGTGAACTATAATCATTGATCGTTTGAGGTTGGGGTTCTGGGATCAGAACGGCCCGTTCTGAAACCAGAACAGGTCATTCTGATTTCAGAACGGGCCGTTCCAGATGCATTAAAGAAGGAGGAGGAGGAAGACGTGACACCTTGCCACCTATGCATCTACGTGGCCAATAATTAACTCCATTTAAGAAATTTGGACGGAAGGTCCGACATTACAGTGATTTAACTTATTATTGAAGACTAAATTAAAACAAAAAAATTAAGATGAGACTAAATTAAAAATTTAAAATATTATAAGGGACCAAAATAGTATTTTTGTTTTTTTATTTTTAAAAATATGATGTGATATGTACTCTTGTCCTAATGCTATAACTACAAAACTGACTAATTGGTGCATACCTTACTGTTCCAGGCAAAAAAATCCAATAACAATCCGAGAGGGTAGTCCTGTCGATTATTTAATAATTGTATAATTTTTACCAAGGTACTTTAAAAATAAAAAATTAAAAGAACATTTAAAAAAAAAAAAAAAGATAAGGTGGATAATAATATACACGTGACAATATTTTATTGGAGGAATAAATTGTAAAGGTATGGATAGCATAGTAGAATTTGGCTTTATAAAGTGTAGGTGAGTGTGAGAAAGGTGTAGAATGAAGTGTGCAGAATGAGCATGAGCAACGGCAAGGTGGTGTGTGTGACTGGTGCTTCCGGTTTCATTGCTTCATGGATTGTCAAGTTCCTCCTTCAACGTGGTTACACTGTCAGAGCTACTGTTCGAAACCCATGTCAGTGCTTCCTCTTCCTCCATACTTCCTTTCACCCATTAATATTTTTTTAGTGTTTGTGTATGTTAGTCATGTCACCTTAAAACACGTAAATATATGGACAAGTAAAATAATAGAGTTGCACTAATTTCATTTTTAAATTAGAAAGAAAACTTATTTTAAAAAACTGATATAAAAAGAAAGAGCTAAGGTCAAAAGAGTAACAAAAACATGGATTAAACCCAAAACAACCTAAAACCTAAAATGTGATTGTCCTAGACAAACTAACCTTATTTTTAGGAGGAACAAAAATGTTTAATTTGTTTGGTACGAAAATAGGCACGTCTAATTCACAAACGTGAGTTAATAGCTTTGAGAGTTGTGGGGAGTGAAAAGTTTGCGGTCCACCCTGGGATGTGACTGGGAACAAGTTTGGTGTACTTTTGTTGGGTAGCAAAACAAGTAACAAATAGAAAGCAACTAAAAAAAGTAAATCTGTTGTTCATATTCATAGATAGAAATAAATCTAACTGTCTGCTCGTGACCCTGGGATATGCGAGAAAACAAAAATTAGATCTGTCGCCATCTTAAAAAATAAAAACGACACTGATCTGAAATTTAAATTAAATAAATATAAATAAAAAATATATATATTTTTAATTTTCTCTATCTCCAATCAAACACAAGTAATATATGATATATTCTTTATTTTTCTTCCTTCCATTTCAATTATACAAACACCCAAGAGTAACATTCTGTTTGGTACAGAAAAAAAGAAATAGAAGATGAAGTGTGTAAAAAATAAATGATAAAATAATCATTTATAATATTGACACATGAGAGTAACCCATATATATATGAGAGACAGGTGTTGATTAATACCATTTTTTTTGTTTATCTTACGTTACTGGTTTTCATGATGGACGTTGCGATTAATATTTAATGCTAGAGAATAGATCTTTTATGAAAGCAATTTAGTACTCTCAACAGGAGAAAACTAAAATAATTGTGTAGATTATATGGGGTTGGATCTTATAATTAATTCGGTGGTTAGTAATTTATTGAGTAACATTGTGAATTATTGGTTTATTATAGTAATTGTGTAGATTATATGCCTGCAGATGATGAAAAAAAGGTACAACATTTGCTTAAACTTGAAGGTGCAAAGGAGAGACTCCAACTTTTTAAGGCAGATCTTCTGGATGAAGGGTCCTTTGATTTTGCTGTCAAGGGCTGCGATGGTGTCTTTCACACTGCATCTCCTTTTTATCACAATGTCAAAGACCCACAGGTTTGTTCCATTCAACTTATGTTGATAAATAATTGAATGTAAATATGGTCTAATTTCATGGTCAACTTAGTATTCGATTTTGACTGTGATTTTTTCTTCTTTTGATTTCAGGCCGAACTAATTGACCCAGCAGTAAAAGGAACTCTTAATGTTCTTAAATCATGTGTAAAATCGCCGTCTGTGAAACGAGTTGTCTTAACATCTTCTATTGCTGCTATTGCATATAATGAAAGACCTAAAACTCCCCAAGTTGTAGTTGATGAAACATGGTTTTCAGATCCAGAATACTGTAGGAATTTAAAGGTATACATGTGTCATTTTTTCCTAACAACTTGGAATTGAATAACACGATTAATTTCTATATAAACATCACTTGTGTGCTTTACATTATAATTGCAAATTTGTGTGAGCATCATAATTGTAAATTTTAAGTCTTAAAATATTACTTTTTAAAATTAGCTCAATCCAACAAAATTTATTTATGACATGAGAGTTATTTATCTTGGATTATATCTTTAGTGGATGTGTCATTTCTATCAGACAGTCTATGAGAGCTTAACATCTTGAATGTAAACTTTACATTATTAATCATTTTTGAGTGGTCTCATAATTGCATGACGTGATATACTGACTATCATTAAGATACATCATCCGATTAATGAACTAGCTTGTGTTATGAACAGAAATGGTATGTACTTTCAAAGACTTTGGCTGAGGAAGCTGCTTGGAAATTTGCAAAAGAAAACAACCTTGACTTGGTTTCTCTAAACCCAGCAATGGTTGTAGGACCACTTTTGCAGGCAGATCTGAACACTAGTTGTGCTGCAGTTTTAAACCTAATAGATGGTGATTTCAGTTTATGCTATGATGTTATTATTACACACGTTTGCTGCAATGAAATTCTATTATACATTATTATGGTGTCTTTGACCTGATTGATGCAGGTTCAGAAACTTTTCCAAATAAATCCTATGGATGGATTAATGTAAAGGATGTTGCAAATGCTCACATTCAGGCATATGAGATTCCTTCAGCTAGTGGAAGATATTGTTTAGTTGAGAGTGTGACACATTACTCTCAAATCGTCATGATTTTACGTGAATTGTACCCGACATTTCAAATTTCAGAAAAGTAAGTTTATTTATTGAGAAATTCTATAGTATCCTTATTATTTAAGAAGGTATTAATACAGTTGTAATTATAATTTTATTATATATTTTTATATTTTTAATAATTTATTTATATAATATTTATAATATTTTATTCTTTCATTTTTTAATTATTTAGTCATTTTACTTTTATTTTATATGGGTGATTGATTGGTTGTTACTTGTTGTAACATATATCATATTATATGACACATTATTTTGTGAAATAAAAAATTAATAATTTTTTTTGTATAAAATATAATTTTATTTTTCTAATAATATTTTCACTTTGGTGTAGGTGTGTGGACGATAAGCCTTATGAGTCAACATTTCAGGTTTCCAAAGAAAAGATAAAGAGCTTGGGGATTGAATATATTCCTTTGAAAATAAGTCTATGGGAGACTGTGGAAAGCTTGAAAGAAAAGAAGTTGGTCCATTTTTAATTCTTAATATCTCTCCTCCATCAAGAGTGAATAATGATATTAACGGCATTTGCTTGTTGATTTTATCAACGTCATATATATGCTTGAAATAAATTATTGTTGTGAAAGTTAAAATTTCTAATAAAACAAGATTACTTGTAGGTTTATTTCGATTTGTACTCGTCAAGCTACACAACTTCTAGTATAAGTTGGTAATAAGTATTGTTCCTGCTATGAACATTCCTTCTCTCCTTTCTCTTGACTAGTCTCTTTAAGTTCTAAATGTTGGTCGAGTCCTGTCTTCGAGTAGTGGGGAGGGTACTTACAAAGACACCCCGATGCTCAAGAGAGTATTCGACACAGAGCAATAAAGGCTATTGCATTAAATAATCATACATGTCTCATCAGTCCCATCAATACCATATTTATAGTGACGTTCTTGGGCCTGGTGAGCTTTTTGTATTATTGGGCTGGTGCATAAGGTTTTGCACACTGATTATAGCTGACGTGGATGTCTTTAATGTAATTAATATTTGTTCTACTTTACTTCATGTAAATTCGTTACAGCCGAATTCCCATTCGGTATGTTCATCGACCGAGGGGGTATTCGGCATGTCTATTGGCCGAGGGGGTATTCGGCATGATCGTTGGCCGAAGGGGTGTTCAGCTTGTTCATTGGCCGAAAGGGTTTTTGACATGATCGTTGGCCGAATGGGTACTCGGCCTATTCATTAGCTTGATGGGTACTCGGCCTATTCATTGGCTTGATGGGTACTCGGCCTGAGGGGGTATTCAGCCTATTCATTGGCCTGATGGGTACTCGGCCTGATGGGTACTCGGCCTGAGGGAGTACTCGACCTATTCATTGGCCTGATGGGTACTCGGCCTGAGGGGGTACTCGGCCCGAGAGGGTACTCGACCTATTCATTGACTTGATGGGTACTCGGCCTGAAGGGGTATTCGACCTATTCATTGGCCTGATGGGTACTCGGCCTGAGGGGGTACTCGGCTTATTCATTAACTTGATGGGTACTCGGCCTGAGGGGGTATTTGGCCTAGTAGTCATTGGCCTGATGGATACTCGGCCTGAAGGGGGTACTCGACCTATTCATTGACCTGATGTGTATTCGGCCTGAGGGGATACTCGGCGTATTCCCAGTACAAGTATCAAGCAATTTGAGCTTCAAAAATATATTCTAGCTCCATTTTATTTTATTTCTTGACGAGACCAAATATATTCTTTTGTTAATTACTACTACACCAGTTTTTCCCACTTAAATGAATATTAACAATGTACTGTATAATATTGTACTATCCAATGAATTTTTATCCAAATTATTAAAGAGTTAATCATCTATACACTGTCAATGTAAATTTTTTTTTACATTGACAACCAATTATATCTTTTAATTGTGTCACGTTACTGTAAACACATTTACTTTTAACAGTGACATGACACAATTAAAAGATATAATTAGTTGTCTGTGTAAAATTTTTTTTACACTGACAGTATATAGGTGATTAAATCATTATTAAATATAAAATTTTAATTAGATTAACATGGAATTTCATCTAATCTTATAATAAAAAATTCAAAAAACTGCATTACCCGTAGTCAAATGAAAGTGTGATTTTTTACTTTTTACTAAAAGAAATACTCTTAACATATTCACTTCATTAATTCGAGAAATTGAATAAAATTACTTTTATCTCATATGCTAAATATTATTTGATAGTTTTTGGTTAAACGTTTAATTTGTTATTTGGCGTTAAATTGGCTTTATACGTGTGTATCTAACACGGTTCCAAACACATGGTGGATAGTGAACCTAATTCCTCATTGTTAAATTGATCACTTTAATTTATTTATTTGTTCACGAAAAGGAAGCATGTATAATAGATTCAATCTTTCTATGAGATTTTGTATAGCTATCCATGTATCAAGTTGATTGATTATGTTTTGTCTCTTCCTTTAGAATTGACTGCGAGTGAATAAATAACTTCATGAACGAAATGATTATTGTTTAGATCAGTTTTACCCTTCGTTGCTAAAAAAAATTGTTAAGGTATTAATATGTTAGATATTTGTCTCAATTGATGAAATATTTCGATTTCATATCTTTTAACTAAATAATATATATATATATATATATATATATATATATATTAATAATTAGACTTGGTACTGTATATAAATATGTATAAACATTTTTATATTTTAGTAGTTTTTTAATTTTAATAATTTTATTATTATCTTTATTATTATAATAAAAATTTATTAACATATATAACTTTTTATTATGTTTATTATATAATATTATATTATACTATTTTAGATTTTATTAATATATTATCCTTATGATAATATTTTTTATTTCTTCAAGTTATAGTATCATCTACAACTAGTTTATTATTTTTAATAATGTTTATATTTATTATTAATATT